TCAAAATATCTTCAAGCTGGCAAACCTGCACGGATCCTAAATTCATTTAATTGAAAAGAAAGTGCACCTCAACATTTCTTTGTTTTCGAATTGTCAGTTTGTCAATTTTTTGTTTAAATATTTCATCTTCGAAATAAATTCACAAGACTAAGAAAAGCAGCTTGTTTGCAGCCATTTAGCTCAATCAATATGCTAATTGTCACTTGAACACAACTTTTTAATTGCATCAGGATACAAAACATCTATTATTCATACTTCAAGAAAAGGAAGTAATTGTTTATTTCCACTTCAAGACACACTTGCATACAAAACATTTCTTGGAATGGAGGGTTAAAAAATTGTTCAACTGAAAGATTGATTAAAAAAAAAGGCAATTTCTTTGGGCCTACTGGAATACTTTAAAGGGAAGTTTTGTGTTAATCTCATAGCCCCATGGCTCCTAAAATAAGATTGATTTCTGCTTACCCAGCCCTAAATTCCCATTGCTGTCACTGTGCAATACCTGCCTCGGTATTAGTCTATCAAGTTTTGTTTCTGAATAAGACAGTAAATCAATAGTGCTGACAAAATCAGGCACCTGATAACTTCTCTATTAGTGAGCTTTCTCATCCTGAACTTCACCACTGCGTCCATCACGTAATTCACCACAAATCACAAAGAACAGTACTAGAGCAATCCACAACGAATATTTAATTCTACATAATATTTTTTTAATATTGAAACACACCCATATTTTTTGAATTAATGGCACAATTTGTGGTTCTATGGATGTATTATGCTCATTTTGCAAAGTTAGGAATAAGGTATCTAGAGAATATTTGTTGAGGCAAATCTGTACCACTGTCACTGTTGACCACCAGGTTATAAAACTGGTTAATATAGTGCCACTATTTCACTGTCTTTTGTCTCCAATACTCACAATTGTCAATAGTTGGGGAATCATAGAAGGGGGAACTTACAAGTGTAGCCTCCCACTTAATGTCAACCTCAGGAATCAGTTAGTATGCTTTGTATTTTATAAAAAGCATATCCATCTCAGAGATGTGACATTTATTTACTCGAATATATTTCAGCAGCAAAACACTCTCTACTCCACTTAGGATTGTAGCTACAGATATAATCAAAGTGACAGACACAACTGAGGTAGGAGGGAGGAAAGGGGAAAATCCACTTGATTTGATTCATGGCTGACATGGAGTTCAAAGAAAAAAACCCTCTAAGTGAACCTTTTCATAATAATTGCCAGGACTCCATAGCACTCATTTCTAAGCTGTTAGAGAACTAAGGCAAACAAAATCTGAACAAAAGGTGAACAAAATCTGTTCACCGTTCCTGGCAGTACAGTGAACATGAAACTGCAAGCCAGATACTAGGACTGGGTTATTGTAAAAGAATTGTGGTTTGGATTTCTGTTTTTAATCAATATGCAGAAGTGCAATTAGAGGACCCCCCTAGTGTCTTTTTAGAAGTGATTAATTCCTGATATTAAGTTTTCCCTCAAATGCTTAATTCCTCTCCCCTCTCAAATATGGGAAGGATTTCCCTAATGCTTTTATCTTACTATTGCTAGATCTTATATGATTGCAAAAACGTTTAACTATGTCAAGTAGGCATCAAGGCAATTTATTATTTGGAAAGACACACTGGCCAAAACAGTTTGGCACTTTTCCTATCTAGTCAATGTTCAAATAAATATTCATCAGCTACAGTGCCTCTGGTGAACCACTGGGCTGTCATCTCATATCTGATCAGAACAGCCTAATTCAGTTTATTTCCATAGATTATCATTAAAAGCATACATTTCAAATATTCTTACTGGAACTTCAGCCATCTGAATATTTTCTATTGCAGTAACAATTCGTGTTTGTTCCACCTGTGAGGAAATACCTGAAGGCCATCAACCTCAGCAAACCACATTCTATTCTATAACCTCCTCTATTCAAGTTAAACCCACTTCCCTACACTTCCAAGAATAGCTAAAAACTCCCAGAAATTTACTGTTACTTCTCTGTTCTTAAAGGCCTCCAGTGATTGATTCCCTGTCTACAGCCTGCTCCAAAGACTAAAAAACTCCCTCATGGTTCCTAAAGGTTGTTATTTCTTTTTCCAGCTCTTTATGGATAGAGAAAGTTCCCTTCTTGTGGGAGTAGTATCTTACAGTAGTTGCCTACATACACAGATTACTTTCAGTGGAAAATTACTTACTTTGCTTTATGTGTTAGTTTGCCTCCATTATGAGGCTCTGTACATATTGTATCTTCTGCAAAATACATCAGGATTGTCTATTCTTCTGATCTTATTGTGCTGCACAGGTTTTTTTTAATTGATGGCCCTTTTTATCCCCAATAATACTTGCAAGTGTGAAGCTTATTTTGATAGGCATTGGCAGGAGTTCATCCTTCATGCCTCTCAGATTTTCTGAGGAAACAATGGCACTAAGTGTCACATCAATTGTGTTATATCAATGATGAGATGATACCAGTGTACTGTTTCTGAAAACCAGTTTATCTTGAGAAAGAAAAGACAAAGCAAAGTGACCAAGACAATCCACAATGTAAGAGACTGAAGCATAAAGGACTAAAGATGTAAGTGTATTTCAGGCAAAATAATTTCATAAGGAGAAAAAAAAATCTCATTCAAATTAATCTGTAGCTTAAAAGAAAGAAAAAGAAATTCGTTACATTTAAGCAAACTACAAAACTGATGTAACAAGTGATCAGACCTTACATTTTGTTTTGCTTTGTGCAATATCTCTTAATGTGTGCATAGGCCCAGGAAATCAAGAGCTTACCTGAGTAAAACGCTAGCATGTAACTTAGTATTATATACACATCCATACTTTTCACTTTAAAAGGCCATTAATTAGGAATAGCATTAGAATGAAATTCTAACAAATATTCAACACTAGACACATGCTCGGTGCAGGAATCATGACAAGAGCACAAACCACACAACTGAAAATACAAAAGTTGTCCATTTCCTCTTATTCCCTTTTCCATTAGGATGGAAAAATCTTAACATAATGTTCAGTTATATAGCATTAGAATGATTTAAATACTTTTTAAGTTAAGGTTTCCTCCCCTCTACTTCTATCTCTGCAAGACAACAAGAACTGTGTTTCCATTGTCTGCAATGTCCCAGATTTCTACTAAATTTACAACTAGAAGCATATGAAGAACCAAGTTTAACACGTGGCTTATAATGAAACAGTAACTTGAGATTTAAATGACTCTATAAGTATTTATAGAAATTTTCCTCTTCAAAGACTTCTAAGTGAGGTAAATATTTACACATCCCATCCCATGTAATCTTCAAATTCTTTAAAGACTTACAATAAATTTGCCACCATCTTTCAGCCCCAAACTGATGCTACACTAACTGCTGAGCAATCTGCTCTTATTTCAGTGCACTGAGATATTTTGACGACTTTGCTAAAGAAAAAACTTCAATGGCACAGTGACAAGCCAAAATTCCAGCTCATACATATTAACTTGCTTACTTAACCATCTTCTAAATGCTGACCTCGAAATTACTTTGAAGAACTGTAGTGGGAAGAAGTGCAATATTAATATCCCTTTATTCAAATACTTCTTTTAACATTTGAACAAAATGCAGCTGAGTCATCAAGTCACAAAGTTGCTGACCATGTGACATAAGTGATTTGGTTTTAAACTCAGAAATGAATGTATCCCACTGACTGGGCAACTAAACACACACTGAAGGATGGTTCTTCACAGAAGAATTTTTGAATGAGCATCTTAAAACTACTGCAAACTCTCTCTACAAAACAAAACTGGATTACTTGGCATATCCAACTCTTGTGTTTGATATCAGTTAGACCAGGACTTTTTGTCCTGCCTCCCTCCTACAGTGAGATAACATTTGGTATAAAAGAAAGAAGAGATCAAACCAGTGACAGACACAGTAAGACGCACAAACTGAGATCATGTGAATCAGATAAGTATTTTTCCCATGACACCTTAGTAAAAACAAAATTTTCCCCATGCTTTTCACACAGGCACAGTCCATGGATTATCACAAAGGCAAGAGAATTCAGTAAAAAATAAATAGGACTTGCCCCCAAAAGAACAGGAAAAAACCAGCTCAAAATAAACTGATGAAGGTGCATCTTGGATGGAGTTTGACTCATATTTACTATAAACAGGTTTGGCTTTACCATGAAACCATAGAAATGACATTTTACAGCACACTACCTGAGAATAAGCAGTATTTCCTAAAGGCCTACACACAAATGAAACAGGAAGATAAGTCCATGACTCTTTAGCTTTTTGGTAGGTCACTGGACACACTAAGGACATAACTGCAGTGTTTCTCAGAAGTTATCAACAATAGTTTTGCAGGTTGGAAGATTGGTCAAAAAACTGATGACATCTGAATTCCCAACCATTGTGGTGAGGTCATGGTTTGTACAGTGTAAGAGCAACAGTGAGACAGAAAATACTTAGCACCATTATTGACCACATAAGCAGGTGAAGTGATAGTAATAATTTCTCTTAATTATCACATCTAATTAAAAAAATCCCTATTTAGGCAGTAGTATCATCAGTAGAACTTAGAATATTTTTTTCTAGGAAAAAATCTTCTTAAACATTTTTTATTAAATATTATTGAAGTACTGATGTTTCTCAATATCAAAAATTATTCAAAAAAAGATGTCTGAGGTTATCAATTCTGGATTAATATACAATACAGATAAGAAGGCCAATCTACAATCACTCCTCATGCATCTAAAGTTTCAGAATCTCGTCCTCTTTCTGTTTCAGAAGTCAAAAATCCTGAGGTGAGGGAACAACATGGATTTAAGAACCAATGGAAGGGACTGTCTCTACAATCAGAAACTCAGCAGTCACATCCTCAGGTCTTGCTGTAACTAAGTAGCAGTTTATATGAACTACAAACCTTATACTAAATTCTCCTTCAAACCTAGGAAATTTTTTGAATTACAGTAACACATCAGTAGCTTTAAGAGCTGTTCTTACCTTCTGAATAGCCCTGGCCCATCGTGCTTTTGCAAAATTACCTCCATCACCCTGGAATCTATTTCTCCTGGAGAAAGGGAGGGGAAAAATAGTCAGAACATGAAAAGAAATAACTAAAAGAGCTCTTTGACCCACTGTGGGCAAGTGGGTCAAAGTCAGATAGCTCCATCATCCATTTCTTCTGTATATAGTATTCTCTATATCCTAGAATATATTAGCTCTGTGGAAGTTATTCTTGACATCGAGTTATGGAAGCTTATCCTGGTAATTTGCATAAGGGTAACTTTACACTTAGCAGGATGTGCTGGGTTTGGCTGATCCAAATTTCACACTCTCTTATCCTCTGACTCAATATGAGCTGTTTAGTAAGGACTGTTTCAGTGAATGGTTTGCTTTGTCAATATTAATTCCAAACAAGCTGTGGAAAATAATGGAGGAAAGCACTTCATTATGATCTATTTAGGCCTCAACATTGAAGATTTATTTTATTTATATCTGATAAATGACAGGAGACCATGAGCTAAGTTAACAGTTTTTACAGAGATGATCAGGTTAAAGATAACCAACTAATGCATTTTTACATTACTTCAGTCTATTTTCAACTCCAGTCCACTTTTTCCAAAAGGCAAATAAAAGTAACAGTCTAAAAAAATCTGATATTGCTGTTACAAACAGCTCTGTTTCTCTTGTAGGTTTTGAATGTTAAAATAAAATATTGAAGTTGAAATTTTTTTTAAAGTTTGATAATTAATAATTTTGTTTTATTTTCACCAGACTTGAAGATAAGGGTAGAAAAATTTATTTTTTCCCCCACATTTCCCTGCTTATTTCCAAATACTGTGCCACTCTACTTAGGCAGCTGGTTGATAAAAGAAACCAGAATGTATACAGTAAAGAGTCCCTTGACCTGATGGTGATTTGACTCTGAGATCACAGCACACATATAGTTGATATACAGAGAAAAAATAAGTAGATGCTAGACAGTAACTACAGCAAAGCACATGGAAGTATTTTTATATGCTGATTTTCTCTGCTCTAACAAAATACTAAACTGCATTCTGCAACAATTCAGATATACTCAAGCAGAGAAGACTGGCTCACACTATCATCTTTGGATTACAGGGGGTTCCCTGAAATCTAGGAGTTCACTGGCTTGTAAAGACTTGATTCCTGTTCCTCATACTATTATCAGGGTATAACAGACCATTGGCACAGGAATATATTTCCAATTATAGCAGCTCATAAATCAGGATTACAAGGTCTTTTGCATCAAATGGCAGGAGGAGAAGGGGAAAACAACAACAGCAAAAAAACCCCAAGCCACCAAGAGAGGGGAAAAAAGAAAAGAAAGGGAAACCTTTGAATTTCCTCAGTAAAGGCATTTCCTTCTGAGGCACAGAGTGAGTGCTACCACAAGTCTTAGCAAACTGAATTAAAGGAGTTACTGAGAAACCACACTATACGAAAACAGAAAACCACTGCCCCCCCCCCAAAAAGCCACCATATAGAAGCTAACATTTAGTCCAACAAATCTTTGAAATATAATCTGTTATGTGATTGATTGCCCCCACATAGGAGTTGCACACTTGCACAGGCCTATTGCAATGAGAACTCATTATTCAGCTATTTCACAACCCCTGTGAACAATGTTGTTTTAACCTGAAAAATGCTAATTCTGTTCATGGCTGCTAAGCACAGGTTATAATAGTTAGTGTAGGCTCTACCACTCTTGCCAGATTCTAAGTAATTCAAAAGACACTTGTACAAAAACAGTTAAGTTGCAAAATAAAAATGTACAGTAACATTCCATACATACAGTTTACAAAGGACAGTAGCAGCCTGTTTACTAAGTAAAGTTGTTGGAGCGTATTTCTGTTATATTTCAGTGTCATCCCTTGGTCTACACATTACTATTTAATTACCTTGGACTTTTGGAACAGTGCTCTTTTATTTGAGGAGAAAAATGTTCTCTCTGATACACACAGCTGAGTGCACATGATGCAAACTAAGTGTGAAGAGGCTTTTCTTCCCCTGCCCTCATCTCTGAGGCTGCATCCTTGCAGGTTCAGCCTTCTTCCTTTTCACAACTATTTTCTTTTTTTTTTTTTTTTTATTGTAAGGTAAATCAACCAAGTGATACTAGTAATGGTTCCACTCCATTCTGCAGCTGTTAACTAGACTGGAAATACTAGGTAATAATTAACCTTAGGAATTATTAAGGTAATTAACCTCAAGGTCAGATGGAGAGTGCCAGTGTTGATTCAGAGGGAACAGAAAAAAACAGCTTTTATTGTCTTAACTGAAGGTAGGTAAGGTCAGGAGCACTCTTAAATTTGGAGGCATAATGTTCACAGGCAGACAAAAACATTTAACTGGTTTGCACTTCAGGAAGACATTGGGCTGTGACCAGACTGCTGAGCAGAGCAGGTAAATGAGGCAGTTGAATACACTTCTGCTTGTGCCATGTAGAAACTCAGCACAGACAGACACAGCCAGGAGCAGCTTTTTACCTGTCCACTGCCTGCTGACACAAGGATGGGTCCAGTTTAGACAAATGATTGTTAATTTTCTATTCAGATCTAGTAAAACTAATCAGTTACCTGGCAGAAAACAATTTATCAATACTGAACAAAGCCTCCAGAAGACATATGATTTGCAGGAATTCTGAGTGACAAAGACCAAGAAGATACTGCTGGGAATCATTTGTCCTGGCAACTGAACTATCATGTTCCAGGTAAATGCATTGCTACAATTTTTTGAAACTAAGAACTTAAACAAGAACAGATTAGGAGAACTTCAAACAAGCATTAAGTCAGAAAATAAGGCAATCACAGCTATAATTACAAAAGCATTAATTGCAAGTGGTAGAACAACAAAAAGCTTGAAAACAAATGACAAATGCCTTAGGAGCGCCTGAAAATCACACTGATTCGCCATTCCTGCAACATAATGCCCAGCTGCAGTCTCTGAACCAACACAGATCACAGGAACAACAGGCTGTAGAACCAGAAGAAAAGCCTCTGGAGAAGTCCAACAATATTTAGATCCAGAAAGCTGAGCAAGCAGCCCAGGTAAAAATTTTGATGCACCATGCATCAAACCAGCAGGCTTCCACATCTCCCAGCGGGAAGGATCAAAATAACGAATTTTGTTGCAGTGATTTACCAAGAGAACACAGTTACATGCACAGGAAGGCACAGGTTAGATAAACACGAGGGCTCTTCAGGCTGGTTTATTGAAAGAGATCTTTAATAGACAACAAAAGTCACACTGACACTTTTATTTAATAGATGTTTTCCCTGTCAATTTTGCTGCACAATTACATTAAAATTGGTCTAGTATTTCAGCGACGATTTGCATTTTCACAGCACCTCTTGTAAAATTAAATCCCACTGCAGACTTCATTGTAAAGCAGTTAATTATAAAGCAGTTGCAGTGTGGCCACATATGGACAAATAACGACATCTTCTGAATGGTTATTTGTTTGTAATGGGCAATCCTGAACATCTGCATGGGTTTGTAAGCATTCATCACTAGTGTCAATATTGTCAGCTTTGACTATAACTGGAAATAAACTGGGGAAGAAAAACTGAAATAATCACACTCTGACATATTATGACAATTTTTTACTCAGCAACTTCCACTCCCCACTAGCAGCAGCCAAGCTGAAACAAACATCATGTGCTCAAATCAATCTCTAATGGACAGATCAAGCAGATTTGTACTTTAGTAGTACACTATTACAAAACCGAGATTTTTAATTTTCTTTTCCTTTAAAATATGCTTCCCAGAACATTCCAGTAATGGTAATTCTTGTACAAATATAGGATAAGGATGCTAATGGCAATTTTGATCTTTATTTTACATTCTTTTATAGTTCAGGAGGAGGATAGAAAAGAATAAATAAAGATGAATAACAGCTTCTCTGTTTATAAAACCTATAAAGTACTTTCAAGTGCTGCACTTCCAGTGCTGTAACTTGTGAAACAATTTAATGTGCATTGGAAGTAAGTCAGTTTGTAAGAGACTCAAAACTTTCGTGTGAGGATTTCCACATTTGTTACTCATTTAGGCTGCAGCAGCACAATTCTTTGGGACTGTCTCTGTTGGTGCAGTTGCTACCCCAGCCTTGCACATCAGGCCAAAGTGTCATTACTTGTATTAACTGCACCTGGGCTACCAAACGTTGTCCTCCTTATAGCACCTGCCAGGGATTATCTGAAGCTGATTGCACTGAAATGGTTTCCAGCTGAAAACAAGGTGCTCTAAATCACTAGCTTTCAAGTCAGCTCATGCACTTAGGATAAGGGAACACTGTTCTTATTGGAAAATATATCTGGGATGTGGAACTATGGAAATGGTATCCCATTAATGGTATCCCATTAAGGATTATTGTACTATAAAGTTATAATTCAATTTTAATTTTTTTCATAGGCCTCAATTATACAGTATAGATAAAAAAAATCAGTATAACATTAAAAAGCTGTGCAATAAGTAGCAGTTTGGTAGAACACTAGGAGTAACTGTAGGCACTACTTGTCCATCTTAGCTATAATCACATTAAAAGGAAATTATTGATGTGGTAAAATTGCAAGGGAAAATTAAGTGATTTAGGCTTTATCACCGTTAGCCCTATCACAGTGAGACCTACTTTTTTAAGCCTCACATAGATTAATATAATTTAGCATTACCCAACTGCCTCATAGATATTTTTGTGTGTCAGTGGCAAAAGAAGGCAGATTTTCCTCCAAGATACTTTTTGGTAGCACTAAATCTATACCCTTACACAAGTTCCCTTTTGCAGATGCTTAAGTTGCACTTAAAAACTTAGTTTCCAAATACCAACCAGTTACTCAACTCTACAGTAAAATTTTAGTTTGAAATTTGACTATTATTTTGTTTTCCATCTGCTTTCTTACTGTCCAAAATCAGAAGTTTCAGTAGCTGTATTATCATCTTCAATCACATGTTTATATCAATTAGATTACTGCTGGCTTTCACTTCAAATAGTTTACATTTCTGAGTTCTTGGTGGGTTTTGTGCGTTTTAAAGCTAAAATTGCAAGAC